CTGAGCTAAATCCCCAGCCCCTTCCAGCTACTTCTTAAATCAGGAAAAAAAAAAAAAAAGAAAACCTATCTCCTTTTAGCATTTAAGCATGTAAGTAATTTTGAGCTTTGTTTTCTTGTGATTTGAAATTTTTAAAAAAATGCAAACTGATTCAATGCCAAGCACAGCATGAGCTGAAACGAGCGCTCATGGGAACTTAGCATCACCCCGGTGCAAAAGCTAAATGTGAGCAGTCTATGCTTTCAAAGGGAGGTGAAAAGTTTCTGACGTGATTTCACTAACAGAAGAGGGCTGAGTTACACCCTATTTGAATGTTTGGCTAGAAAAGTAATTTCCCTTGTGCTCGAGAGAAGACTCTGCCTTTGAAGCCTCTCTTTCCGGTGCTTGTGGCCCTACTATGTCTGTCTTTCTCCAGCCCTAAAACACACCATATGGCACACTTCTGATGTACCCTGGCAAGGTCAACCTTGCCTTTGCTTTTGGAAATCAGTATGATTTACACATACGTCTTTTTTTCTTTCAAAGAAAGCAGGATTTTAAAATTGCCTCTCCTGGATATTGTTCTAAATCCCTAGTAACTCCGGACAAGGAGTACGATGGGACTTCAAAATGTTTTCCCAATTAATAAAAATGTGATTCCAAAGCAGAAGTTTGAATTCTGATGACGTATAAGTCAAGCTCTAGGTACAAATACAAATGCCCAAACACCTCAGAGTGGGGCGTATAAAAACCAGTGCCAAAGTATATCAAACCATGAGTTCACGGACTGCCAAAATTAATGATGATTTCTTTCCCCTCCTGGTTTACGAGAGTTACCATGGGACCTGTTTCTGTCTGAAGCAAATGCAGAATTTATTAATAATGTAAGTAGCTCTAGGGCCTCTTCACCATGGCAGTAAATCCCCTGCTTAAACCCAGAACTGTTTCCTTTATACTTTAATGGATTAGGTCTGTGTAACTCAGCTTACACAGTCTCAGTACAGCTTTACTGGCATGCGGGTGCTTAACGAATATCTGACAGCAGTTACCAGGGTGAGACAACGCGTGTCAGTGCCCACCGAAAATGACAAAGTACTTACGCAATTTCACGCCCTTGGTGAAAGTACGTCAAGGAGAGCTGTTGCCTTTTTATATCAGAATATTATTTTAAGCAAAACCAAATGAAAAGGGGAAGGTACATCAATTAATATTTACCATGTATATGCGCTAAAAATTTATGTAACATCTATATATACTGTTGTGTTTCATCTTAACCATAATCCTACAGACTAGGTGTTGGGATGTCATTTTCCTAGCTCTAAGATGCTATGGATCATGTGATGAGCCAATATTAAGAAATTCAGTCAATGAAAATATGACACACCATTTGTAAGATACAATCTGGTATCACAGATGTAAAAAAAAAAAACCCCAAAATATATTGTAAAGAAAATTTGCATAAAGTACATTACTAGGTACCAGCAAGTTTGCATAAAGTACGTAACTAGTTACCAGCTGTCCTGACCGAGACTATACTTTCTACCTTCCTGGATTCTGAGTAATGAAACTGCTGCAGTCATTTCAGACCACAGGGGTGAAGAATCGTGAGATCGCGAGTTCCTTCCGCATTCTCTCTCTTGTCCGATCTACCAGAGTTGAGCTGATAGTGCTGTGACCCCGGAAGTACCTGGGAAGTCGGGCAGAGCCTCTGCGTCAGCCTGGTACCTGAAGACTCCAGGAACAGAGCCTCAAACCACGTTCGAGGTAGGGACGCCACCTCTGTCTTTGATGTCACCAATAAACACACTTTTATTGTAAACTTACGTCATCTGGAATTTTACCTGTGAGCAGCTCAAACTGCCCCGACTCGTACAGTGGCAGAAGAGGGTTTGTCCGATTCCAAAGCTGGACTCACGCTGCTGCACTACGCAAATATACTACTCTAAACTTAGCCCCCTCCAAATTTAAAAACATAAATAAAGCAGTACGGATTGTTCTATTTTAAAAAAGGTTTTATCAGTTGGTTTGAAAAGGAAGAAATCAGTAGACTCAAAATTAGTATATGTTACGGAAAAGGTACAGAGAGGAACCATTAAAGTTGTGTGTGTCACAGCACATATGTAAGAGGGAAAAACGAACAGAATGCGGGAAGGATTTCCCACGGGGAGAGGTGACCCAGACGCGTCTGTGTTCCTTCCGTCCTGACTGACTGTGACGCAGTCTGGATTCAGGAAAAGAAGGTCTATGCGGCTGTTAGACCCCTAGCCCTACTGTTCTAACATCCCAAGACAGAGACGGTGCTCGTTCCTAAAATAACCTGAAGCCAAGAAGAAGGAAAAGTGAACAGCTTGACCGGCCATGGGGGACAGCGGCTAACGGAGGTGACAGACAAGGTGAGGTCAGGGACGTAGGTTCTGGATTCAAGAGCACAGCCTGGATCGTGGCTTCACACTTGCCGAACAGAGGGCACAACTTTGGGGGAATCACTCAACTTCCCCAAGGGCCAACGCTGCCGTTTGTAAACGCCGTGGTGACAGAAGTGAATCAGGAAACACACGCAAAACGCACCTATGACCTGGGTGGGCGCACGCTGACTGCTAGCTGCTGTTACGTTTGCTGTCATTAATTGAGTTTCCTTTCCCGCCTAGTTGCCAACGGGCAGTTAGTTGTGCCTTAGTGAATCTCCTATGCCACACAGAAACCCAGAGGCTGGCAGCCCGAGGAGGTCTGTTTCGGTGTTTTTGCTTGTTGCTAACACTCCTGGAGGGCACGTGAACAGAGAAAATAACCTGTTTGCTACATGGTATTTCAATGCTGGTTTCGCTTTATTGCTTACATGAAAACAGTCCCCACCACCCCCATTTTACTACACTGTAAGGAATAAAGAGAGAATTAGAAAGCAAAGAGAAAAGCCCTTACCCGCTGTTTTTCATTTGTGCCCTTTTTATTGGGCTCTTTTCTGCTTTCATCTTCATACACGAGCACAAAGTCGATTCTCCGTTGGCCGTCATTAAAAAAGAGGGAGTCGGGTTTTCCATCAAATTCTTCCTGTGTGGCACAGAAAAACAGATTGTAAGAAAATTCTTTTGGAAAGTGCTGATTAGAAGTGTTTATCTTCTAGCTTAGTATTTTCCTTCACGTGCTCACTGAAAGAGAAATGCATCCACTGCTAGTTAGTTGACCAAGCAGTCCTGGCCACCACGATCTCTGGAAGCACAGTCCGCTGTTAGCAAGTCTTTGAATTGAACAGCTTAGCATTACCCTGCGAAGGTGGGGGAACGTGTCAGTATTCTGCATATAACTCAATCAGCCCAGAATTATTAACACACCAAGGGGATATCAGCTTCAGAAATGAACAGAGTAAAAGGATCTGTCTAATCAAATGGCTGACGTTTACTTAAACAAGAAAAATATGCCAGGCATAGTGGTGCACGCCTATAATCCCAGCACTCGGGAGGCGGAGGCTGAGGCAGGAGGATC